GAGAATTTTGTCGATCTTAGTGTTGTTTGATTTTAGGGGTTTATGTTTAATTTCAAATAGCAGATCTAATTTTTTGCATTGCTATATAAATAGCAGGCGTAATACCTCATTTGAATTCTCAACTTTATTGATTTTTTTAGTTTTTCCATAGTAACAGATTTCTCAACCTGTATGACATTGTAGGCTTGGACTTAAAATGAATTTTTTTTTTAATGAACCTGTAGTGTTTTTTCTTTTCTTTTGCAGAGTGTATATTTTCTCCAACTCAGATTAAAAATAAATATTATGCAAAGTCTGTAAATCATTGTTTTTAGATTGCGGTTCATTAGAGTTTTATTTTGATTTAGGATTTCTTTTAGATTTTAGGGATTTTCACTCTTTTTTTTGGGTATTGCGATCATAATTTGCAAAACTTTATTTTTATCGATTTGATTTTTTCTTTTTTATGCAGGAATAATGAGTGACCAATTGTTTACTATTAGGATCAATCATAAATGGAGATTCACAAATGGTGGTGAAGAGTATGTCGGAAGGGTGGTTTCTCTTTTGCCACACATTATAAATGGACAAATTTAGGGAACAAAAATTAAAGGAAATGAAGAATTCAAGAATAGTGAAAAAAAATATTGAAAAGAATAAAAAAGGAAATGTTGAAATGAGTAAAAAAAAAAAGGCCGAATAAGTGGGAAAATCTTGTAAAAAATGGCTAAAGTTAGACAATCTATATATAGAGATTATTAGGGGTAATTTCGTCAAAAAAAAAATCAACAGGTCTTTATAACGGTTGGTCAAAGGATTTGACTAACGGATTCAAGAAAAAAGTTAACGGCAGGGGGGTATTTGATGTTTTTCATACATCAGGGAGGTAAACGATACCTTTCTCATAGTATAGGGGTGCAAAATGAATTTTACCCTATAAAATACTTTGTTTCATACAATTGTTCCTATTTTTGTCGATCAATTTCTTTCATAGTGTCCGTACGTTAAAATTAAAATATATTTAATTTATTCGACGAATGATTGAGTGAGCTGTAAATAATCGTGTGGAGACTTGGTAATACTAATAGTTCGAGTGGATTAATTAATAATTCTTCCCGAGGCAGCCCAATTGATATTAGCCCAACTGATGTTTTTGACCCAATTGCACACTTAAGCTAGTCTGTGTCTTCACCTGTCTAGAACTTTGATCTGGACCGTTTATCTCCATCGTTTAATTATGTTCGTCTATTTGGTTGTAACAAAAGCAGTTTCCCCACTGAAGGTCGTTTTGCTTTTAGGGTTTTTGGGTTTCTGTGACTGTGTGATGGGTTTAGTTGGTGCTATTGCCCGTGATTCTGGACAAAGAGTGGCTAAGGGAGACTAAGTTGTTGCATATCTTACAGCTCCGTGCGTTGGAGTTAGTTATTAAGGTTTGCCGGTCTACTCAGATTTGATCATTTTTCTTCTCCTTCTTTGTTCATTATTTTAGAAGTTCTGAAAACTCTAATCCTCCTTCTCATTGATGATTTTTGTAGTAGCTAAATATACAGGGTGTTAATTCTGAAAGTATTGCCTATTAATTCAATTTAATTCGGACTCCATTCACAAAGTGCCATGTGTCTTTACTACCAACAATTAAAAGACATGTGTCTATATTGAATAATAAGTTAAGCCAGTACTAATAGTATAAAGTTAAGGTAATTAATTAATTATCACTTTAAGCCCTTGTAGTATATCCGTTTCGAAACTAAAAAGTTATAAATTTTATTTCAGAATTATGTAATTTTTATTATTGATTATAATTGTAATTCATTTTAATTATGATATAAAATTTTAATTTAAAAATAAAACTTACATATAAATATCTAACTTGGCATATTCTTTAATTTTACACAAATATATTTTTTAAAATCAAATTTTAATTTAAAATCAAAAGTAATATTAATAATTTTTTCATAGGTTTGAAAAGTAAATAGAAATTTAAAGTATTCTTCTATTTTAATCGTCGTTCTTTCTTCAAATAATACTTGTCGTCTGAGTTTAAAATAATTTCAGTTTTTTTTATACTTAATTTTTCTTAGTAATTTATTTTTAATAGTAATTATGTGCTTAAATTAGAAAATAAGGGCATATTTGTAAATATGCAAACTACAAGAGGTTGGGTGCTATTTACACTAATAATAACCTAAAATGATAAGTCGCATATTTGGACACTAGTCACAACATTAGTGGGATCCGTTTTTATAGAAAAACGGATTGTCCGTTTTGAGTACTAACCCAAATATGTATACGACATTTGTAGTTGTATGTTCAAACGATTGCCCAACAATTTGGTCGGGTTAAGAGCATCTATAGTGGAGCACCAATTTACTTTTTTTGTCAGACTTCAAAAAATATAGGGATTTACATGTGCTTTAGTGGGTTTGTCTTCTTTCTAAAAAATGCTACGTAGGTTGGGACTCCTTAATTTATTCTGAGCAGTTAAGACATGTTTGGGAGGTGAATGTGGACTATATGTATTATTTTAATTGTCATCCATTGAAGTGTGTGCCGTGTAACCGTGTTACTTTTGTCCTTTTTTTATGTTTTGTTTAATAATGTTTAATTCAATTTTATTTTTTTATTATATATATATATATATTAATTAAGTAATGTTTAATTCTATTTTATTATTTAATTATATTATACGTTTTTCAGGGATTACAATATTAAATTTCATTGGCTTTAATATTAATAGTAAAAGAAATGTTACATTTAGATTTATCGATGAAAACACTTATATTTTTTAATAACTTCATGTTTGTCGAATGCTTTTAATTACTTTATTAATATAAATATCGATACGAATAAAATAAAATAATACATTTTACAATGTAATAAAAATATTAAGATAATATAATATTTAATTAAATTAATAAGGCATTTTATACAAAATTTAATGTAATGAAATATAAAATTCAGAACTTCAAATATTCTATTTAATTCCTCAATATTTTATTATTGTTTAAAATATATAGAAAATTTTTAGGGAGTATAAGTATATAGTACTAGAACACTTTTTTTAGGGAGTGCTAAATGTGGGTCCCACTTTTAAGAAGACGGTAAATTGATCGGGGTAGCATATACACCCCATTATTTAGGGAGTGTTGTTGGGTGAGTACTAGAGATGCTCTAAGAGGCATAAAAAATATTGGAAAATATGTGCTTTTCCAATGATATTTTGCATATATGAGCTTTTGCCCTCTACTATTTTAATTTTAGAATTTAGACATTATTTTTTTGTCCCCAAACCTCGACCCCTAAATTTTTAACCTACCCACCGTTATATTATTTAAAAAAAAAAATTGATGCCTTTGCTAGAAGCCCCATTTCAACTACATGTGCAAAAGTGTCCCGAAAATCCTAGGAACGGGCCTGTAATTAGAAAACTTATTATTACATGCATAAGTATAACACAATGATATAACAAGATGAGGTAAAACGGTATTATAAAATTTATTTTTCGAAAAAAGAAAAGAAAAAAGAGATAGGACTATCAGTTACTCGTGAGAAATTATGTTAGAGTGGACAATTAGTTTGACAAATTGATGTGAAAAAAAAATTGGATTTTTGACGATAATTTGATTTGACTGATAAAAAAAATAAACAAGGTGCTTTTTGTTGAATTTATCAGTAAAATACTTGGAATTGGCGACCATAATTCATGAGAGAAGTTCGGTAAAGCCAATATTTCTTTAATTAAATAAATAATATAGGGAATTCAAATGTTCAATAAGAAAAACAAAATAAAAAATAAAAAGGAACAACAAACTTCAGCCCACTTTGGTCTACTGTGTTCATGGCACATGTCCACGAAAAATAAATAAAAAATAAAAAAAATGATTTATTTAATTAATATTTTTCTCCTCCACCTAACTCACAAAATGGGCAAGAGTTTTTCGATGCAGAGTACATTTAAAATAGAAAAATCGAACGCCATTTAGTAGATGAGATGTGGACAACTTTTAAGGAATCCACGCTAGGGTAAATGAAATTCGTTTAATATCATTTATGTAACACGAAAACTTCAACTTCTTAATGTATTCGCGTTTCGGACACGTTTTGTATCTGACACTTAATGACACATGTCGAACACTAGGGGTGTGGACGAGTCGAGCTCGCCTTTTTTGTCAGGCTCGAGCTCGAGTTCAAGACTATTTTGTTGAGTTCGAGCTCGTCGAGTTCCTTCTTTTTTGGCTCGAGATCGAGCTCATATCCATTTTGTCGAGCTCGAGCTCATTCTGTTATTTTTCTTATTTTTTAATTATTATTTTAATATTATTAAAAATTATTTAAAAAATTACAAAATAAACAATAAATTGTAATTATATATATTTTTTAATATTTATGTTTTATATTTATTTATTTCTATAATATTTTATATTATTATACATTATTTAAATCAAAAATAATATATATATAAAAAAAATAATAATAAATAAGGCTCGCGAGCTGGCTCCCTAAGTTCACGAACAACTAAAAATTGGCTCGAGCTCGACTCGTTAGAAAGCTCGAGCTCGAAAAACTCGAGTCCGAGTTCGAGCTTTTTTCAAGCCGACTTATCGAGCTAACAAGTCGCCTCGGCTCGTTTACCACCCCTACCTAACACCTGATGACATATTTGTAAATACATCTTATACTTATAATGTTTACACGTCTCCCCATTTTGCTGTATCTCTATTTTTAGAACATGTTGTTTCTCAATATAAAATATAAACTGCAATGGACAAACTCAATTTAAAAAGATGTATATAAAAGAGATTTTAACTCGTAATATTAAACATTACACTCTTATTACTCCAACAACTAAACCACTATTGCGGGCAATTGATAGCAACTTCAAACATTAACAGCCTTGCACAATTGATTAATAGCAAAGAAAAAAAATTAATTACAAAATTCAAAAGATAAAATTTTATTTTGATACATTTTGGCAATGGCATACGTTGAAGACAGCGCGTGGCATCCACGCAAGAATCATGCGAGTAAGAAAACCAACAAAAAGCAAATCAACAGACCAACCAAAAAGGAGGCATCATTCAAAGTTGGAAACCTCTGCTCATGAATTTCTCCGCCACAGTCAGCCCGCCATTCACACACTCACACACACATAAATTATAAATACATTATACAAATTACACACACACACACACACACACACTACCCCTCAACCAATCGGGGCGGAGAGATCCATCCTGAACGAATTACAGCAGAGCACCACCATGGAGGTCAGAGCCAGAGCTCCCGGCAAAATCATCCTCGCCGGCGAACACGCCGTCGTCCACGGATCCACCGCCGTCGCCGCCGCAATCGATCTCTACACCTACGTTTCTCTTCGCTTCCCTACTCCCGATGGTACTTAATCAACACCACCCCCTTCTAATTTTTTTTCCTGTTTTCGCAATATTTTTCGTATTTCAATTTGGATTTAGCGATTGAATGGAAAAATATTGATGCTGTGAATCGGGTCTCATACGTTTTGGCTTCATTAGGTTTGTGCAACAGTTTTCAATTTTGATATTGATATATGATTAGGGTTGATATCTTTTGGAAGAATTTATGTCAAATAACGGTTTTCGATGAGATTTGAGAAGATACTAAGGCCTCGTTTGGTTGGAGAGATTAGTCATGATTAACTAAATAATAGGACTTTGTTTGATGTTTAGTATCGCCAATAACTTGCCGGGTCGACCCGCAAATATTATGTTATCATGGCTTATCTTGCCTTGTAGGCATGTCTTTTATTGGATGATTGAAGGTCCAATAATATAATTGGGTTTTATTAGATTATTTAATCTTATCTTGACTAATCTTATCTTTGCAACTAAATGAGGCCTAAGGGGATTTCTTAGTAGCTAAATGGCTCGGCAAGAAAATACATTGTTGCGTTGTGGTATTGTTTTCAACATGACAATTTCGAAGTTCGTGTTTGTGTTTCTCTGAAATTGTTTTTCGCTTTTTCGATTTTGTTTACGGATGAAATTTCCGCCTTTTTTTGTAAGGAGATAATTTTTTGCTTTGAATTGGAAGTGCTAATAATATCGGAGTGCTAGTTTAATCCCGATAAAGTCATGGGATAATCTTTGCTCATCTCTTAACTAATTATACGAGAGATGGCAATGGGGTTCCGAATCTTTTCTTATATGTGTAACATGAAATGATATTTAAGTGCAATTATTGAAAACTCCAAACATTAATTATCTTCTAATTAATCGAGTATGGCAAAGTGAGGTTGATGAATTTGTGGGTTAAATTTGTAAACATGAAGAATTTCACTTAAATCTGTTCATACTGTGGCATTGCTTTTGTAGAAGAAAAAAAAAATATGTTATTGAGATGTTAATAGAAACTCAATGAGAGGTCAATTAGCATTTATAGCCGTTCATCAATTGTTGCTATACTTAAAACTTTATGTTGATATTCATTGCTAATAGATTTCTGCACCGTTTTCTCTCTTAATTCCAAATACTCGTTTTGCTAGATGATGATGACGTTCTAAAACTCCACCTAAAGGATCTTGACTTAGAATTTTCTTGGCCCGTTGGAAAAATTAAGGAAGTTCTGCCCGAACTAGGCAGCCAAGATACTTCGACTCCTTCATCGTGTTCGTTAGAGATAACGAAAGCAATTGCTTCCCTAGTGGACGTACTCAATATTCCCGAGGCTAATACTGGACTTGCTTCAGGCGTTTCAGCTTTTCTTTGGCTGTACACATCCATTCACGGGTATCTAGATAAAACATATATTATTATTTATTTTAAGAAACAATTGTTCTGCATCTAATTGAGTTTCGTCTTATCAGTACTAAGCCAGCTAAAGCTGTAGTGAACTCCGAGCTGCCATTGGGCGCTGGATTGGGTTCATCTGCTGCTTTGTGTGTTGCGCTCTCTGCTGCACTCCTTGCTCTGTCGGACTCTACGAAATTGGATTTTAGCCATCAAGGTTGGCAAATGTTTGAAGACAGCGAGCTTGAACTCGTAAATAAATGGGCTTTTGAAGGTGAAAAGATAATCCACGGAAAACCGTCTGGGATTGACAATACAGTAAGCACCTACGGTACGTCAGCTTTCTCCGTTAAACATATCTTCTTTGACATGCCATTATTTCAATAGGAAAATAAAAGAAGGGTAAATTACGCCTACACCCCTGAGGTATGCTGAAATAACTTTGAGGTCCCTGTGGTATAGATAATTACAGCCACACCCCTGAAACAATTATCCGAGCCAAGATTTCAACATAATCTAGAAGATTCCTCTAAATTTAACACCACAATGGTGGATGTGTAAGAAGATTTATAGTTGAGGGGAGTGGTTGTAATTACCCAAACATGAGGGGTTTTTTGTAGTTTGACCATACCTCAGGGGTGGCCGTAATTTACCCAAGAAAGAATTTGAGAGACTATATGGCCAATGCATGTTGAGTATCAAGAATCTTGGTAAATGCCGTTATTAAATCACAAGAAAGAAACTAAATAAAGATGGGGAACACTTTTTAACGGCTATTCATCTAACGACGTCCGTTTGCAGGCAACATGATAAAATTCAAATCCGGCGAACTGACTAGCATAAAGACAAACATGCCCCTCAAAATGCTCATAACCAACACGAGAGTCGGAAGAAACACAAAGGCATTAGTAGCTGGTGTGTCTGAAAGAACAACGAGGCATTCTAGTACTATGTCTTCCGTATTCAACGCCGTTGATTCCATAAGCAACGAATTTGCCGCTATAATTCAGTCGCCGGTTTCTGATGATCTTGCCATAACGGAGAAAGAGGAGAAGCTCGGAGAATTGATGGAGATGAGTCAGGGTTTGCTCCAGTGCATGGGTGTGAGCCATGCTTCAATCGAAACTGTGATTAGAACTACGCAGAAATATAAGTTATCTACTAAGCTAACTGGAGCTGGTGGAGGAGGCTGCGTTTTGACCCTTCTGCCAACTTGTATCCTTTTTTTCGTTTTTTCGCTTCTATAGTGTTTTTTTTTATATTTTTGGCTTAATTATTTTATTTTATTTGAAAGGAAAAAAGAAAAGAAAAAAGATTGCATTTTTCTTGACTTCTTGGATCAGTATTATCAGGGACAGTGGTTGATAAAGTAATTGCCGAGCTGGAATCTTGTGGGTTTCAATGTTTTATTGCGGGTATTGGTGGAAGAGGAATGGAGATTAGCTTTAGCGGTTCTTCGTAATCGGAGCGAAGAAGTAACAATCGAAAGTGTAAGATTTGAACCTTTTTTATCTGAAAAAAATTCAAATAATAATTTGCAGAGGTAAGCCAGCCCTCTTTAGTTTTTTTTTTTTTTTTCTTGTTTTTTTTAAATGTCTGTACCGATGTACGTTTGTATTAGTTGTGCTAATTGATTTTCAGTTGTATGAAATGGTACGTGCATCCTTGTTAGGTACTTGGTTTAGTATCATATTTTGGTCGTGATCGCTTGTTTGCGTTTGTTTTTTGATGAAATTTTTGATATAAGAGTAGGAATTAAAAAAAACTGCCTAAAAGAGTTACTAAACTGGTCCAAATTGAATGAAATCAGATCTTTATTCGTTGTTTATATAGTGTCAGATCGAGTTTTCTCCAGACAAGTTCGTCTTTTGAGTTAATTTTACTTGCCTCCTATTATTGCACATACTTAACGCACCTCTTGTTTGCGTTTGTTTTCACTACTCGTTGAATCGTTCGTAAGATCTTAAAAAATCGAGTATTAACACACGTGTTTTGCCAAAATTAGCTGAAATTTTCAGTTTAACATTTTTTTGTACATTCAAATATGTAGTATAGAAGATGTTTACCCGTTATTTAGTCAAGAAACAGATGATTAAAAAATTGTTGCACTACTTTTTGAATCATCAGCAAAATCATATACTATAGCACACGTTTTTCGCGTAAGGCCCAAAGTAGGGTTCTACAAAACCTGAATTCTACTTCAGAAAATTTAAGAACACTTATGTGATAAACCAAACTTAGAATGGGGTTTGCAATAGCTTTTACAAATAGATTATAAACTCTTTCTTTTGCTCATAATCTATTTTTAAGTGTTTGCAAAATGAAAATTTGTTTTTGCTTCTCTTAAAATAAGCAACTTTAAGCTATAATTTATTAAGCAACGATGACTCTGCTTTTACTGTTTAAGTTTATTTTTCAGCAAATTTACAACCACCCCAACTTTTAGAAATAAACACTTTTGCAAAAGCTTTTTGCTTATATTTGTTCTTATGTGTTTTTAAGATTAGCTTTAGCTTTTGCTTCTCTTAAATTAAGCTACTTTAAATTATATTTTTAAAAGCATCCCTAGACCTGCTTTTTATATTTAAGTTCATTTTCCAGAATATTTGCAAATTCCCACAACTTTTACAAATAATCACTTAAAACCAACTTAATTCACAATCACTAACTTCTACTTTTAAATAAACATTTACAAACACCACCTTAAAACCAACTTAAGTCACAATCTATAACTTCTACTTTTAAATAAGCTTTTGCAAACAGTCATCGACGAAGTAGAATTATTGTTTATTACAACAAAAGGGCACTTGCTCAAATCATGCAATCCCCAAACAAAGCAACCTTTTATTTAATTATCAAACCACTCCAAACTAAAAATATCCAAAGCTCCCAATACTCACACACTGTCCTTAACCGCAAGACTATATCCACTTTGTATATCATTGTACCTATCCCAAAGCATAATTCCCCCATACTTGGAGGACTCCTTTGCAAACGGAAGAACTTCCGATATAAGTACTTGCTTAGGAACGTATCCATCTCCGGCGGCCGCCTTGGATGCCGGAAGCCCGATGTAGATTTTTCTCGCCGGAATTTGAGAGGTCCATTGATTCCACGAGTTCCTGAACTTGCTTGGATCGCTAGTGGTGTACTCGCATGGTGGATTGTTGTAAAATTGGACCCATACGAAATCGAATAGACCCGTTTTAAGGGCATTTCCTAGCCATTGATCGGGGAATATGCATTGTGGGGCTGCCGTTAGATACACTTTTTTGCCGGTTTGGCCGTATTCATAAAGCTTTCCTGCGAGGTCGGAGTAGTGGTCTTCCCCTTTTTCAATGTCGAAGTCTATGCCTGCAGTGACAAATTTGTTCAACGTCACATAAAACAAAATGCAATATATATTAGCAAAGGTAATATAACCGACAATAGTATTTCTAAAAACTATGACTTTTGTCCTAGTTAATAATTTAATTATGAAACTTTAATTTATATCTATTTTAAATGAATGGTATGACTTTAAAATATTATGTTTTACATGTTTATTGTATTTTTATTATATGATATTATTTTGTACTATTTTTAGTAGTTAAATATCTTACAATACACTATGATAAATGATACGGTGCAATATATGGAGAAAAATGATACACGATATTTTCTGATATGATAATAATGCATTGTAGTAATAGTTGGTCCATGGTGGGTAAAAGCAATAAATTATAAATATTTATGACATGGTTCGGTAGAAGCATTAATTACATTTGAAATATCGGGTGAACCTCTATAAATTAATACAGTCGAGATTAGAGAAATTCTATTAATTTAGCAAATTATTAAGTTATCGAGTTAATAATTTAATATATTTTCACCAAATCGGGACAGAGAAAAACTATTATTTAAGCGAGATTATTAATTTATTGAGTATTAATTTATCGAAGCTCTACTGTATTTATTATTAGAGATATTGATGAACTTTGCTTTTATTTAAATTTATCCTTCTATATATGATGAATCACACACATAAATTTCTTATTTTTCGCGATGGACAAGTTGCAACAATTTTATATCATTATCGAAACAATATCACTTTGGTGAAAAACAAAAATCTTATATAACTATTTGTCGTACGATTGGCCGATTCAGTACGTGTAATTTTATTTATTTAAAAATAAAATTGAATCGAACAACTTATAATTTGTTGTTTATAAAATATATTAGAGCATCTCCAATGGAGAGGGGGGGTTTTCCCCTCCCCTCCCCCGATGCTCTGCTATATTTTATAATCAACAAATCATAAGTTGATCGATTCGAATCAAATATGGGAA